ACTTGCGCTTGTAATACTTCTAAAACATAGGTAGGTACCTATTATAGTGAAATGTTATTGTGTATAATCTTCGTCAATATATAGAAGCTAGCATAAATTATAAGGTTGGTTAAAGGAGCTAACAGAAACAGAAATTTGACGACACGAACTGTATTTTCATACAAATTTAGTTTTCGACTTTCTACATACACTATTAAGGCATCTTGACTAAGCCTATAGGTTCAAAAAATATTTTTGTTGGATTATTCAATTAGAAAGACACCATTCTATTCGAATAAAAATAAATCAGTGGCGCTACAACCTCTTCAGGTCTAGGCCATAGATCTGAATCTGTTTCATGCTCATTTTTAAATCTAATAGGCAAGTAGGTGATCAGCCTCCAGTGCCTGACACACGCCGTCGACTTCTTGGGTCTAAGACATGTTGGTTTCCTCACGATGTTTTCCTTCACCGTTCGAGCGATATGTTAAATGCGCACATAGAAAGAATGTCCATTGGTGCACAGGGATTAAACCTACGACCTCGGGGATGTGAGTCTGCGACTCACTGAAGCCACTAGGCCAACGCTGCTTATTCTATAGATATATATCTATTCGAATAAACGCGGGTAAATACGGAGCTAATCGTATTAATAGAGAGAATGGACCGCTCAGACAGTTACGGCTTTGGTTAATTTAAGAACTGAGGTTAAACCAATACCGTCTTCACCATAAGGGCACACGGGGCCTGTGCCCAGGGCCCCCATTATCAGGGGGCCCCGAAGGACCGACAATTTCTCTCCCACATTTATTTTCAAAACATTTTTGTCGGGCACATTACACTTTTTTCACAAATCAGTAATCAAAAAAGATATCAGAAAGTATTTACAAGGCATATCCTACGCCATTATATCGATAACTGAGCCTATTCCTACTGTACTAATTAATAAGGATATGATAGAAGACTCAACAGAAATCTCGAAAGAAACCGTTATCGTAATCGTAACCAAAAAAACCAGAGCATTCTAATATATTCTAGTATGTGATGACCTATAAATGGTCATACTTAGTAAAAAATTTTGTATAATTAGTTTTTTTTACTTTCCAAAAGGGCCCCAAATTCTTGTGTGCCCAATGGCCCCAGCCTAGTTTAAGACGGCCCTGAGGTTAAACGCTGATATGAATACATAAAACCTACTGGCAGTTTAGTATTGGCAAATAGTACTAAAACATCGCATTAGCATACTCCATAGACTGTAACTATAGACTGAATCATCGTTTATACAGAGATTTAATGATTTCTGAGAGTCACGTTACCCAACCTCGGTAAAACGCGTTTACGCAATAATCGCCGCTGGTATTTAAGTATGAATGTAGATCAAGACGCTTCAATTTAACGTCAGTACAATCTAATATATAAAATTCTCGTGTCACAATGTTCGTTCCCATACTCCTCCGAAACGGCTCGACCGATTCTTATGAAATTTTTATGCATATTCAGTAGGTCTAATAATCGGAAATTATCTATTTGTCATCCCCCCCACTCAATGTTAATTTTTAATATTTTTGCCATATTTTTTTTTTTGTTTTTTTAGATACAGCATACAAAAATACATGCAACCCTTAATTTTTACCCCTCTACGATCAACCCCTATTTTTTATTTGATAATAAAAACTTATAACTTGAACTCCGAGGTTTATATAGAGTAAAAATCATAGAAAAACGTAAAAAGTTTTCATTCCGGAAAACTGAACATTCTCTGGGGTAGTATAGCAAAATGTTCCATGTACTAAAAAGGTAGGCTAATTAAAATCACATTAAGGAGAAACGATGTTCGCGTTGGCAGCTAGTATGACTTATAATATTTATCAATACAGTCTAAAAATCAAGTCCAAAAATACTCTTATGATCTATTAAAACCCAGTGGCGCAATCGTTAGTCACGAATGTCTGTAAATTTCCTTGTTTTTATAGGCAAGTAGGTAATCACCATACTTTCGCTTTTGGGTCTTACAAGACACGCTGATTCTCTAGAATTGTCTTTCAATTTGTCTTTACCGATTTAACAAGCAGTAATTGCGCTTAGAAAATAATCCATTGGTACACAATCGAGGCCTGAACGCAGGACTCGCACTAGCTAGCAGTGTACCAACTGAAACATAACACAAAAACATGTAAAAACAGGAAGACGTAAGAGGTCATTGACATTCTGTTACGATAGACATAATATTATTTATCTGTCTTGATACGTCGAATATTTTGTAATAATTCGCGCTTTTTATTCTAAACTAACACCTTTGACTTTAATGTTATTTGATTAATAAGATAATTATACTATTTGATCAATGAAGCATGCAAATATCTTTTGTTTATTTATTATTTATAAAAAACAATTCTGTCTTAACACGTGACCCTAAATTGACAAGAATGCACAACAAATAAATAAAATTTACACACGAAACAAACAAAATTACATAGTTTAAATAAAAAATACAAAAAATTAACTAAAGACTATAGGCACTAACAACTCTGTTCATATATCAATTATATTATCTTATACCTATTATAGTTGTAAATTGTTGGTTACTAGACTCTACCTACTGGCGATTTCAAAACAATCATTAGCAAACTGACTCATAAATTCAACTTAAATAACTTGACATTGTATATATTGTGAAAATAGATATTAATCACGGAAAATATTCTTCTTAAAATGCTCTATACGCCAGGATATAGAGTTCACCAATTTTGTATGTTTTTTTTTAAATATTATTACATGCATGAAGCGTTCAGGTCTAAGGTTTTTGATTAGTTTAATATGTCGCTAATAATGTCCTAGAATATGAAGGGAAGAATAGGAAATACGCGCAAATAACATACCTGATTAGTTAATGTAATCTTATGTGAATTTACTAATTACACACATTAATTTAAAATTATCAATTATTAATTTTTATTTCTACACATTATACTGAAGTCACAATTGAAATTTAATTAATTGTTAAAATTTATGTTTCTTGAATTTTAGCCTTGTCTAGGTGAAATATCGATACACGACGCATAAATATTAAGTGATTACCTACCCATCGTTTAGTTTCAAAGTATCAATTATGTATCCAAGTTATTTACAATCAACTTAATAATGACACTCAGTACATTGACACTGGAGGTGCGCGTCCTGAATATTTACTGCAAATGTGAGTATGCAGATTCTGTGCGTATGCGCTAGGATGCAGGTCATGGATAAACTTAGACAAATAATTAGGTATCAGATTATTCACAATATTGCAAAATACTGGATAAATAATTTAAATCTTGTCCATTAACATTGGGTACGCTGATTTAAGACCTTATTTACGTTTGCTAAAGTTTTTTTAACGTAACGAAATTTCATTTTCTTACGTTACGTTATCTTATAATATATTCATCACATAATAAATACATATATTATATTGTGTAAATGTTAACTTACAGTATCTAGACTGATTTGACGCAGAGAAAGGATTTTCGTTCCAGTTACTTAATGGTATACTAGATAGACATTAAAATAATAGCCTTACAAAATGTGAACGAAGTAACATTTCATAAGAGATTATAGCTTAGGGCCTATTTCCCCACAGCTCATGCTATAAGGAATCATGATTACTTTAAAATACATATTTATATTGGTACTAGCGTTAGGTAAACAAAAATATCCAGACCAGGCCGCGGCGTATCTTTAAATAATAAGAATAATTTATGTGATTAAAGAATTCCATTGAGGTAGTAAAGCATTGACCATCTACGCGGCAGATTAGTGAAGACGTGTGCGCATCTGTCCACTCTCTATTCACACTGTCGAAGGCTGAATGAGTCAGACCAGAGGATCGTACAGCAGCAACAGTTTAAGTTGCTTGTAGCTACAGGCACTACATTCTAGAACAGCTACCAATAAAACACAAATCTTGTTCCATTTTTTACACGCTATATATTTTCATTTTAAGTTTTTTTAAGGATGAACAGAACCCTTACTCTGTAACTTCCAATAGCGATACCGATCATAAAACCTAATGAGTTTTTGTACCCAAGGTTGCGACATCAGCGTTATGGAATTGAGAGAACTACACCAAACTTTCATACGAAAATGTCGCTGTCGCTAATGGAAGTTACCCATATCCATCGGTTAGCTCCATTCGACCGGTGCAGTGGGCCATTCTACGTGAAGAACGTCGATATCCACCAGGACCTGGAACTCCTTAATCTCCGAGCTCCAAATCGATGAAGTCGGCGTCCATACGCCGCTGCCACAAGACTAAACACCATGACCACAAACGGGTGCGCAATAGTGTCAACTATTATGCCTTCCAAGTAAAAGCTTCCCGCGCGGCAAAGCTAAGTGAAATAAGGGGGAAAAAGCTCCTTTACATGGGAAGGCGAGATTCCTTACTTTGCACTTCACACTCCTACGATCTTTCATACTTCCCTTCTGGCGATTGACCGACGCCCTTGCGCTAGTCGCAGGAAAACGCCCATACCGGCCGAACTACGCTTGCCAAAACAGCTCCAGCTCAGCTGTTAGAGCCCTTCAGGCCAACAGCAACATTCCGTTTTTTGAAAAAAAGTGGAACTTACAGTGAAAGGGATGCACCACTAGATTTTTGTATCTTTGAAATACAATATGTAACTTGTACTTTAAGAAACAATTTTTAAGCTAAAACGTAAAACTAGTCCTGACTTTACATTATCTCTTTAGTCTACATCCTGAAAACTTGCCATGTAATGCAATCGTATATTATTGAAACCGCTTGATAGTAATGCCTTTTATGAAAAATTATTAAAATTTTGATAATATACAAGATTATACTGTGACACTCGGCATATTATTAACTCTAGTGTAAAGAATTGTTTTTTTCAGTTTTACCAATAAATTATTTATCACTTATCTGCCTTTAAATGGAATGTGAAGATTAAGAAATAAAAGAACTATAAAACATTAACTATTTTATTCTACTATTTATACTAAATATAATTTATATGAATAATCTATCTCCTTTTCTTTTTCTCGGGGCGGCTACCACCCATATCGTCTAATTGTTGTTTAAGAGTTAAAAGCTCATTGTCAGGCACATAACGGATATCTTCATGTTCTATAGTGTGCTCATGAACATTTAATGTGCATCCTTCAGGTAACAGGGCACGCGATACCCGTAAAAGAGTACCGAGGGCCCAGGCAGGAACATCTACAACCTAAAAATATCCATATAAATAGTGGTAAAAATTGCAATACATTTTTTAACATCAATTTCAATAAGAAGCAGGGTAATTTGCAGCTTTATCACTAACAAATGATTTCTTCCAGGCAATGATTTACTATATTAAGAATGTTTAGCACATATTGAAACACCAAATAAAAAATTACAATAATAAATATCATACAAAGAGAACTATATTAATATCAATAGTATTAATGTAATACAATAAAGTAATGCAATCACAAATACCTGAACATTTCGTTCATAAATATTTAAATTGTATTCAGAGTCCACAACTGTTCCGCCTGGCTTGTAACGATGAATTTTGAACTGTTTAGCTGGTGTTGCCCAACTGCAAAGAAACGCTTAGTTTTATATCTAATAATTTAAAAAAATCTTTATATTGAGAGGTTGTTTTTAACACCCTGGGTTTAACTACTAGCAAAAAGAAAATTCATTAAGGTTCTATAGAAGTTCTTTCCATAGAAAAATCTGACTCAAAAGTAGTTAGTAATATTGAAACCATAAGACATACTTGGCATTAAAAAAAATGCACATATTGACAATTAGTAGTCCTCCTATAAGGACTTCAAAGTACAGAAATAAAGTTTTATTTTATATAAAAATACAAAAGCAAAATAAAAATAAACCAAGAATAACTTATTACTTCAACTTTTTTATTGATTGAACTAATACACACCACTCATCTACTTGTATTCCCATTACTTCTGCATATCTATGAATTTCTCTTTGACACATTTCAAGCAAGGTGTAATCGTAACCCTTTATTTGCAAATTCAGGCAGTCATATACAGGTTCATCGGGCTCCATACTCTACAATTTATAACATATTTTATTATATACAGATGAGTGCAAATTTGATATTTTACTAATGTTTATCTTAAAATTTAATAACTGAAGCAATATTAATTTCTTTGAAATTTTTAGGATGTTTGACTCTTAGGATACAATCAGAGTCGATTCTTAAGACTACTAATGATTCCTGTAGTCAAAATCTATACGTCCAGGACCAAAAATCAACAATGTATGTCAGGCAGTGCAGGTTGATCATCCACGGACTTGCGTATATATATATCACCTACGAGAGAGTATTAATATGATATAATGTCTTACAATTAAATAATCAGGTTCATATAAGTCCGTCTTTAACCGTTTCGGTTGATATTGCCCAACACATGCTCCGAATTGTAAATTTGTTTTGAGTTTGACTAGGTTATTATTAACAGCACAAGCCTGAAACAAAATGTCAATGTTAAGTTTATAAAACAGATTTCATTACATTTTTATATTATTAATGTGTATTATGCATTTTTGAGACAGAGAGCTTAGTACATAAAATAAATATTACATATTTGAAGATCTTCGAAGAAAACATTGTGATTGCTTGTTTTTAGTATTTAAATTTTTTATAAATTTGTTTGAGGCTCAATTAAACATCCAGTTCCAAATTGTACTGGCTATTTAGTATTTAAGGTAGGTACTAGGAAGTAAAAATTAAAATTATAGTTCAGAGATCGATCTTTTAAATATTGGATCGAGTTGAAACTGGAGACGAAGTTTTTTTTTTTTTTTTTAATGGCTCTGGCACGATTTGTGCATTAGCCAGCGTCAAGTATAAGATTTTTTTTTAATTCGTGGTTGTCTTTAGAAATTCGACCGTGTCCTCCATGTACGGTTTAGGTACTCGCCCGGTACCGCACAACCCTCCCAAAGGCCGAGAACAAATTTAAATTAAATTAAAACTTGCCTTCGAACCGGGAATCGAACCCGGTACCCCTCACCTAGCTGCAAGGAGACGAAGTTATGATCGAATGTAGCTTGACATCCGTACTATCATGAACTGTCACTGTTAATTTGACTTGTAAGCTCTCAAAATTCAAATGATCTTCGTCGCTACGCTATTAAGCATGTTTATTAAACGTAAAACTTGAAGTTGAGTGATGAGTCTGCATCTGGTCAATATTCTTGGAAATTCAAAATTCTTGATTTACTTATAGGTTATAAATTTTATAGATTCGGATGTTTTTTCATCTATCTTATTAATAATAATTTGATAAGTAAAAGTTAAAAATTAAAATACTATCTGAAAAACAGCTTACAACACTATTTGCAAGATGATGCTTTCTAAGTAAGTACTAACCCAAAAAAGATGTTTCAAAGTTATTTTTGTTTATGTTTTTTTTATTTTACAGGCTAAGATTTAAACAACGTGAAATTCGTATTTTGTGTCGGTTGTTATCTGGAACACCCCCAGACCAGACAAATGACGGAAAAATACCTGAAATAAAACCTAAAAGTCAAGAAAAGCAAAATGAGTCTACCACAAAAATTCAGGAACTTTTAAAGAAAATGTTAGCAGAGCCAAAAATTTCTCAGGAAGAGTATGAAAAGAAATTTGTGGTCGCACCTGAACGCAAGAAGCGCGATACAATTGAAGTTAAAAAAGAAAATATAGGTTAGTGGTACATTAAATCTGAATATATAAAAATGAACAAAATATAGTTTTATATCTCAAAATACTGAAAAGCTCAGTATATTCATTCATACACAATGTAACTGCCTAGATAGTCTGTCATATTTTATACTTACTTTTTTAAACATATTTTTTAATATTCTTAATGTCCATTTACAGAAGAAAGCTTAACAAAAGCAGCTACTGATGTAGCTGAGGCAATTGGCGGTGATGTTAAACAAACTGAGGCAGAATTATTGTCTCGAGTACTTGGAAAAATTAATCAGACATCAACTACACTTAGGTAAGATTAACAAAATATAATACATTTATATTTCTAGTATCTGGAAAGATCTGTTTGTCAAAATTTATGAAATTTTTCAGTGATTTGCTGGTTGGTATGAAAGTAGACAGGTCTAAGGAAACAGAAGATCAAGGTAGAAAAGAAACAAGAGGTCAGCAAGTAAGGCGCATTGCCAGTAAGAGTGCAGCACAATCAAGGCCTCGGCAGTATGAACAAAGACCACAAACTGGAAGGGAAAATAGGCCTGAGCAAAAGAGGTAATTTATTACTTTTAGTTCTATTTCCAAAATAAATTCATGTTAATTTAATATTCTAAATCAAATGATGTCTGATTATTTTTGTAGTCCTAAAATCTAATTTTAAAAAAGTGTCTTATGATTCAAGACTGAAAGGAATCAATCTTTTTGATCTTGTTTGATTATTATTTTTCTGTACAATTTTATGTGTCTGGCAATGCTTATGAGTTATGACTATATATATTGCTCCCTCATTAATACAAAGACAATTTTAAAAAGTAGAATTTTGGAAAATTACATTAATGATTTTGATTAGTTCCACATTAATAAAATGCTTGAATGAATCTTTACAGCTTGGTTCCTTGACGTCACTTTAGGAAGATTTGAAAACTAATAAAAATTTAAATAAATCCTACAAATTACAATTACTTAATCAGTCAGGATTAATTCCTTTTTCCTTGCCAAAAACAATTCCAATGCAATATAGGGATCTATTACATATATAAAAAACTACAAATTAACTACATTTATAATATATCAAATCAATACAAATTGTTCTTTAGAATTCTGGATAGCAGAACTCATCTGTTCTTCTTCCTTAAACAATAAACCTTGGTCACTTTACTAATTAGTAACTTGTAGCAGTAAGATCAGGGGAGGGGCGGCAGGGATGTAAGAGATGCACAAATATTTTTTTGAGTTACAATTTTCATTTTCCCTTATCTCTCAGTGCTAACCGGTGGACATTTCATTTAATATCTCACTTTACCAAAAATTCGAATTTGACTTTGTACTATGGGAGCGCTATGTACAAATTGATAGACAATACTTGATTTTTTAAAATTTAAGATCTCATTCATATTTTTTTTTAATTTTCATCTAAATATAAAATGTATAGGATAACCCAATGCAAACTAACTGCATAAATTAACACCTATTGTTTATGAGGTTTTCTTAGCAAAATTTTATCAACAGTTTATCACAGCCAATCAGTATCAACGTTTTTGGAGGAGAACTACTTGGTATCTTCAAGCAAGGACCCACCAACTATGGCACCAAGTTAGAAGTTTGGGACCACTTGAACCAGCGAGAGTTGACCCTTGCAACTTCACAACCACCCTCTAACTACTTTGAGAAGATGTTGCTTTGGACTGAACAGGGCAAAGTTTGGAAGTTTCCTATTAATAATGAACAAGGTAAGATAGAGACCAGCTTCAATACTATCAAGATAGCACTCAGCAGTTAATGAATTATTAGAGTACAAATTTAAAAACTGAATACAAAGTGAAAATACAAATTTTACATAGATAACATTTCTTCCCTAAAAGACACAAGGATAGCCATGCTACAATTTTATTTTATTTCAAATAGTAATTTTATGCTTAACCACTGGTGGTAGTTAGTAAAGAATAAACAGCGATGAAAGCGGAAATTGTATATTGTAGGATGATGGATGGGTTACTAAACTACAAATAGTTATGAAATTACAATTGTAAAAGTAGCAAACAAAATTTAACTTACCAACTAACAGAAAGAAATCACTGCCATTAATTTATTTCATTTATCATTACACTCTCAATGTTGTTAAAATTATTATTATTACAAATGTTTGTTACAGGTATGGAAGAAGAGGAAAATGTACATTTTTCTGAACATATATTTTTAGACAGCCATTTAGAGGGCTGGTGTCCCACACGTGGGCCAATTAGGCACTTCATGGAGTTAGTTTGTGTGGGCCTCTCCAAGAATGCCTTCTACACGGTACAGGAGAAAAAGGACCATATTTTATGGTACAAAGAGTATTTTGAATCAAAGAAAGATTTGCTAAATGAGATTGGTGTTTGGGATATTACACCAACTGAAAATACAGTGTAATTTGTGTAAATATAGGTTATTAGATAGTTCTTTTTTGTTTTATTTCACTTGATCAGTCCTGGAGCATGGAAGTTTAATTGCTTGACCTAAAATTTTCAAATTCTTAATTCACAGATATTTTTCTACCCAATGGCAACTTCAATGTTTAGAAGCCATGAAGTGATTTTTTAACTTTATGGACAATGGATGATTTGGAGACACTCTGGTATCGTGGTATTTCAAATAATTTTTATTTAAATTTCGATGATAATTGGCGAAAAACAATTGTTAACAATGTTATTTTATTATTTATCTCCAATACATTACCGATGTTTTTATAGTAGCGCCATCTAGTGACTGATGAAAAGTATGTATGTATTTATATATATATATATATATATTAATTACTTCACTAATATTTCTCAAATTCTAATATATTCGTGACGTGACTTAATTATTTAAAGTAAGAAAATTTGAAAATTCAAATTTTAAACAGCAGTAATTTGTTTCTCAACGTGTGGTAGACCCATGATAGGAAAAGATAGTTTTTATTAAACAACTACACATTACTTTAAACTTTAGAATTACCTTTGGTGCATAAAAAACAAACTTCATTTTATACAATACCCACTCTTGATATAGAATATAGATGGAGTCTTTATTACGAAATTTATCGGCCATTTTTATATAATTATATTAGATCATGTTTTATTTATGTACAAAAATAAAAGATTCTGAAAAGAAATAGCGTCTAGTCAAAAATATATTGGATATTGACATACGGGAGAAATTGGCGCTAAGTCTCGTTTCTTATCTCGCCCTAATTACTCTCGTTGTGACAACTGACATCTGTCAAAATTTTGGAATGGTTTATTTAATAATTTAACATTACTTGGACTTTAAAGTGAGTATAAACTATAAGAAAATAAAACAAATCGAGTTTTAAGGCACATTTATTGGTGGACGGGCGTAATAATAAATTTACAGTATGTACATAGTCTGAAGATATGTTGGCTAATCTATCATTTGCGCGGGAATTATTTTACAAAATTTTAGATTAACAAAGGTAACAGTAATTGTAAAATCTAATCTACAGTATATAAAACTAAAGATCAATCACAATGTGTATATTAAAATACTTATGAATTAAGTAGAAATGTTTTATAAGTCCTATTTTGCGTCCTTATTATTAAGATTAAACATATAGTTATAATTCACCTCGGAAAAAAAATCAATATTAATTAAATCAATTCACATTTATTAATCTTAATTGAATTATTACTGATAGCAACACTATCGTTATTTACTTTAAGGGGAAAGTACCCACTACCCGTGCATTGTGTATGTACTTTTAGTAGAAAAACTTCTGAGGCACAGGTAAACGTATTTTCCGGAAAGTATAATGTTTTCCATTTCGCACCGCTACGGATCCTTACTTCTGATAACCTTAATAAAGAAAAGCCCATGAGGTGGGCAAGTACAGTTGTCGTAATCATACGGCCGAGATGCGAACATCATGTACATTCTCGCTTTTAACCGCTCTCGTAATATCTCGCTGAGTTTGTACAGCCGTCATTACGTATAGTAAAAAGCCACAGATAACACCACTATAAACACTGAAAATGAACATCTTATATTCTTTAATTTAACTCGAACAAAGCTTTTCATTTTTACAATTAAAAATTTTCACTTAAAAATTATGACTTGACCCTAAATTCTATATTATAGCACTTAAGTACGCTTTAAAAATATAACAAACTAAGTTAAATGGTCAAATGCTGAATTGAGCAACAAAGAAATATAACAATCTAAATTATTGTAATATAAAAATTTCGAAAAATTAACGCGAAAACTACAAACAATTTTTTGTTGTAACGATATTTTATCAAACCCACAAACTTATATAATTTCGAGATCATATTGAGATTTATTCTTTTGATTCATAGTCTGTGCTTACCCGAAATTCTAATTTCAAATGAATTCTAAATTCAAAGCTACAAATTCCGTGTTACCATTTTGAAAAGTCCTTGTTTTGTAAACAAGTGATGAATTGAAGCGATTGCTCACTTCAACGTGTGATGTATTACTATTTACATATTATGGCACACTTCAGTACATTAGCACCATTCAACTTAAAAAATCCAAACATTGGCAGTGTTTTGCATACACAATCACAATTCTGCATTATTCTAAATAACGGAAGACAATTTAACAATGGAATACTTATGGCACCAATAACAAAACTAAATATCCTTTTTCAATGCGATACATAACACATGAAAATGGAATACACATTAACTCCCTTTTTCATAAAAACTCAATTTAATTACACTATTTTAACTAGAGTTCTGATTTCTCTTGCTTAATTGTTAGCGCTGTTATGAAAAGAGATATCTGAAGCAGCAAAGTTTTGAATAACCTTAGATTAACTAGGGAAAGATGAGTCGAGAGACAACGTCAAAAACGTGTTGAATTGTGAGATACGGAAGTCACATATCGCGGTAAGTATCGACTCTGAATCTTTCCCTAAGAAAATCACCTCGAAGTTTACACCTGACGTTCGAAGTCAGCAATTCAAAATACGTTAATTAGTGCGATTTGACAGTACGTGATTCTTGAGAATAGAACTAGTTAAAACAGTGTAATAATTTTAAAAAGGGAAGAGAAGCGTATCAAACGCCCACGCGCACGATAAATTACGAACTGAGTTTCACGAAACCAATGTATGTGTAACCCGATTGGAGTAACAACGTTCTATTCTTTTCTCTCTGGGCGATGTTCACAGTGTCGCCTTTGTGCAAACGTGCAACTGTTTGAACTGAGCAGGATATTTGAGACTTATTTAGTGGTCTGGAACTGGAATCGTCACCTGTGGCACAGGCTGAGATGAGGCGCGGCGTGCTTGTCGGCTGTCTTGCCCATATAAAGTATGCGTTTGGTGCGTGCGTTAAGTATACCACCTGAAAATGTTTTATATATATAGGAGTAATAATATATAGGAGTACTCTACGAATAGTTTTGTAGGAGTGTTGGCCGGTTTAGCAGCTCAATAGTGCGTTCAAACCCCTCGTCGGCGTCCATGCGTCGGGTTGTCTCTCTCCCTAAAATATTGCGAGGGGGCCGGTGGCTGGCCATGCGTCATACTCGTGAACGGGTACTACTTGTGGTGACTGGTCGTACTTGAATTCGTGTATGCGGTGATGTTAGTTATTTCGACTATGTGTTTGCGTGTTGTTCCCACGAGAATATAAGTGCGTGCTCCTATTTTACCATGCCTCCTGCTGATAGAGGACAAGTGTTTGTTTTTTTTAATTTATGTTATTATTATTAATTACTTAATATTTCATGTGGAACATGGTGTAATGGTTGCAGCTCTTTACAAATGTTGTGTAAAAAAAAATGGCGATTAAAAAGAGTGGCGGAGAGTTTATTGCCAGTTCCTCTCTTCCGTTCTACGCCCTTGATTTGAGAACTGGCAGTAAATGTAAAATTAGAAGCATTAATATGTATTTCTTTACTGCCGAGTCATAAGTGTATATTATGTTACCTATATGATTAAATGATTTTTTTACTTTACTTTCTTATGTGCAATTACTTGAAAGAAAAACATCGTGAGACTCTTGTCTAACACAATTTGTCTTCGTAACGACGGAAAAAAGAAAAAAAAAGAAATATGTTATCAACCACGATACAGTATTGCTAGATTATAATTCTTATGAATCAAAAATGAATTTCTTTAATGTTTTTCCGTTTTCAGAAAATAATTAATAAACTTTTGCATTTTGCTTGCCTTCTTTAGGCGTAATATCTATATTTGTATACACAAATTACTGCACTAATCGGCCCGTTATAAGTAGGATAACGGATCCTTAAAAACATCTGATATTGACGCAAAAATCTGTTCCATACATGAGCTAATCAATAAATTTGTGCATGACTCTAGATTAGTATTATAACGCAGTACTTGTATAAATAGATATACGATTACTATCTCGTGTCTATTGATAGTATTATCAACGTAAACAACAAGTGGCCTTATTTGTAAACAATCTAGCAAATAAATGAGTGCACGAGTTCAATAATTTCCATTGTCGGTGAATATTACTTTATAACAATTTAATCACTAATGAACATCTAATTGCTTTCATGTAGGTACATTAAGGACCTTCCGAAGCTAGCAATTATTTTAAACGTAAAATTTATTACGTATTGTATGTATAAAGCCCCATACCCACTTGATCAGGCATAGCAGACACAGTTTGCGTTTCATTAGCCATTTATTAATTACATATCATTTCAATAGTAGATAATTTAACACGATTTTTTGGTTTACATGCCGATATTTTCTTGGCTAATTTTCATAACGTTTACCGACTAAAAGAGTTAATGATAAAATTAAATATTAATTCATAAAACGCGCAATTTATCTCTAGTATCGCGTTCGTATATATTTAAGTCGATAATTAAAAGCCGAAGTTTTAATAACATTACGATTTATAAAGGCTTAATCAACAAATAACTTAGTTAAGTCTGTGAGTACGACCTCACAGACTATACGGTATAATGGTGAACCAATAATAGATTCTGGTTGTAAGACATGCTGCATTGAGATTGAAAAATAAACGTCCGAAGTCTGCTACACTCAATCACAGGGAAACGGGATTTTATACATGGCAAAAGCTCAATAATAATATCCAAATTATTTAAAACAAATGCAGCCAAAAGTAAAGCAGTGTTGGTCTAGTGGCTTCAGCGTGCGAATCTCATCCCTGAGATGGTGGGTTCGATTTCCGGCTGTCCATCAATGGACTTTCTGTCTATATGCGCATCTAACATTCGCTCAACGTGAAGGAAAACATCGTAGGAAACCGGCTTGCCTTAGACCCAAAAAGTCGACGGCGTGTGTCAGGCACGGGAGGCTGATCACCTACTTGCCTATTCGATTGACAAATGATGATGAAAATAAAGAAATCTGAGGCCCAGCAGAAAAAGGTTGTAGCGCCACTGATTTATTTATTATGAAACAAAAGACATACGATGCAGTGTTCAAAAAACAATAGAATTATGATATATAATTTAGCACACGAAAAGCAGTAATATCAAATAAATAGATGCAATGTTAGCGCATTCCGATTCCGATTCTATTTTTGTTACTCACTTGTGCATACACTAAATACAGCCCGGACTCCTTAATATTGAAATAGTCCGTCTTAAGTTCTATTTTATCCTCGCTGCCCTTTGATGAGATGTCCGTATCGCGCACCCATGGTCCTATGATTGCTGGAAATGGAGAATATTTATTAATAAATCGAAGAATTTTCCAGGATTTGTATCACGGTTTCGAATATTGAATGTTTTGTTTTGCTAGTCGGTGAACAAAAACAATTGGTGCAATAGACCCAAAATCCATTATCCAGTGCGGTAAATTTTAGTGTATATGAAACAATTATAATTTATATATTACTAGCAGGCCGGCCAAGCGTTGCTGTGGCTAAGGTTTTTGTTATATTACATAGTAGCAAACTATTCAAGGGAAACGGTAGGAGAACATCAGTCATGGGGACCACCATGCTTTATAGGTGGTTATGCCATTAAATTGTAGTGTATGTGAAACGTTGGTACTTTCAAGACAGCGCCATCTGTTAGAATTGTGACTGTTAAATAATAAACAAGTATTTTGCAATAAAATAATATTGCGGGTATAAATTGAGATGTAAGCTATCCTATCTTTTAAGTTGGATCAAACTACACACGGTATGCAAATTTGATTGATATCGGTTCGGTAGTTTAGGAGTCCATCGCGGACAAACAACGTGACACGTAATTTATATATATTAAGATAATAAGCAATTTAAGACATACAGTTCAATTAATACTGTTTACGTCAAGACAAAACAATATTTTATTCCTATCGCATACATATATGCCTCCAGGTCCGAACCCTATATTATATAATTTAGTGGGCGATGAAGAGCCAAAGTATAAAGTAACTACTTTATAGTACTTAAGAGACAGTAATACCAGACATCTTGTTTTTTATTCAACTCGACTTAAATCGAATTCTATTTTCAGTTCTCGTATGAGTGACAAGAGTGGGCAAACTGTATAGGAATAGGAAGAATTGTATACTTATCACAGAGATAAGGAATTTCAAGTAATTTCAACAAAATTACTTTTTTGAGGACACGCTTGCCTTGAACCGGTTTAATTTAAACTAAAAATGTATTTATTTTGTTTGTAACAATTATTATATATTAACTCAAAAACATATATGATTTAAAAAAATCTTCGATTTGAATGCTACTTACATAGGCTATGTTACACAGGAATAATTATTTTATAAATGTTCATTAGTGTATTTAAATAAATGTCTGGCCGTACGTAATCGGGACCACTAAGTATATTATACCTCGTAATTATACATGAAACAGTTAAATTAAAAAATATATTCGTACGTCGAAATTTCGGAGAACTCTTCCAGTTTCGAGCCCTAATCAGATATTATAACTATAGACTATTGTCTGGGTACGGCCTTGAGTCTGCCACACATGTATTCAGGGTCACCCTACAGGAGAAAAAAGTATGCAAATTGGTTTTGGGAGGTCAGTGAATTGGCTAGTTTTTATCCCTTACAAAGTCTCTTCTGTTATTGGAAGCATCCACGAGGAAATAGTATTGACAAGTTTTAAAAACGTGTCAATGTCCTGATTGTCGCGTACGTACGTAAATACGTTTTTAAAATGACAAATAAAGTTAATCTAATTATAGTTATCGCATAATTTATCATACAAATGTTTTGCGCGTCTATTTTTGTTTTAAATTTGACGACATTTTCAGGATTAGCTTTGAACTTGTTGAAATAATAAATAATTACGTAGCCACATTTATGATTCATAACAATTGTTTTATAAGGTAAAAAACATATTCTACGTCATGTATGATTGCGTATGCGCAATAATTTCAGCTGTATAGACTTAATAGTGTAATATAACACTACCGTCCTATGTCAATTTACTTATGCGTAAACCCATTTAACAATTTCACACACTAATTTATAACGAATGAACATTAATTTAAATGTGCTTTCGCTAGTAATTAATAAAAAACAATAATTCAAATAAAACTTCTATAACGCATTCTTGAATATTGAAGTCTTATTTCAGTGTTTATTAGCGTGAATAGAAAATTAATAATCACGTAATAAGATCACTGATAGAAGCTTCTAAGACAATGATATGGACATTGTAGGAATGGACGTAACTCCTCTAGCACCGGTTTTCGTAAGGAATAGGGCTGTATGTTAAGCAGTACACAATCATTATTTTAAAGGACACAATGGTCTTTAGAATCATGAATTTTATATGCATTGCAAACATTTGCACCTACTCTGCTAGTATAAAACAAAGTCGTTTCCTGCCGTTTTCATCAATAGACAAACATAAATAGTTCATAGCAGGCGCGGCGCGTGCCTATAGCACTTTGTACTGACAACTATACTTTGCATTCGAAGCCGGGGCGCGTCACTAGCGAAAATTAAATTGAGAGCTAAGGATCAACCCGGAAATCAATGTTTTACGAATTCAAGGGAAATAATTAAAGTTTTTAAGATGAACTTAAAAATGAGGGCATGAATCACAAGTGACTCAAAAAAGAAATTGAACGCTTTCTCTTTGTACCTTAGCGCGAATTTTACGATAGTTTAGTAAAGTTTATAAAAAGTTTCAATCGTGATTTTTTTATAGAAACGGGTAGGAGGCTCATCTGATGTTGAGTGCCAGAGGGCTCGCGAGTGCGATGACGGCCTTTTATGAATTGGTACGCTCTTTTCTTTAAGGACCCTAAGTCGAATTGGTTCGGAAATACATCAGTAGTAAGCTGGTTCCACGTAGTGGATGTGCGCGGCAAAAACTGCCTTAAAAAAGGATTAGTTGTGGAACGACGGACGTCGTGGAATTTCGTATTCTGCCTCGACGTCCGACGAGGAATCTTAGCTACAGGTATTGGGTGTATTATACTCTGGAGCACTGGAAGACACACTGGCACTTTCATTTTGTACCAAAAAATATATAGTTCCATATAAAAAGTTCGAATTTCGAGACAAAAATTGGATTTATGATGAACAATCCACAACAATTTCTGTAGACGTGAGAACAACTATTGCGGTCAGGTCAACATAGATTTGCGATTAATCATTGTGAACGAAAGATTTACACAATTAGTCATCATTATGTTTTAATTAAAAGAAAAACGCCGTATTATTTAGAAAAAAGTTATTACATAAATTTTCTGTGTACTGTGTGTAAGTTAATTTAATATTTTGTTTTTACTCTTATAATTTTACAATAAAAAGTCCCTTAATCAACGATGATTCATAAAGAAAATATCTGCTATTATAGATGAATACCATCTATAATAGCTTTATATACTGTTAAGGCCTTTAAACAAACTCGATGTTTCCACGGGAAACGAACGCGTGCGCTCTCACTTCTACGTATGATCCCAACCTGACTGAGCGGATTGCATACTAAACATTTTCAAAGACGAAGTTTCATATAAGAATGTTCAATATAAATCTAGATAGCAATAAGCTATATGTATGTTTCTTTGTATATATCAGTACTTAAGAATGTAGGTAAGTATATGATATTGAGATTGTTAATTGCTTCTTAAGTATTGTACGATTAAAGTTATAATTTTATAAGCATTTACTGCTTGCATAGAAATAATAAAGACTATATACATACATTTCCTATGAATCAACAGGTTTATTAAAATTACAATATACTAATTGTAATTTAGTCTAGTAGACACAAGTGACAGGAGTCATAAGGATTCAATATTTAATTAAGGTTTATGGTGGGATTCATTATCTCTTTCTCTATGGAGTACTTTAGCTAAAACTGTACTTTATTTTTTATTAATAAGGGGGCCTTTCAAAGTAAGATTCAATTAAATAGCTACTTTAGTAAAGAGCATTTTAAAACAATGTCTAGCCTTTTAATTAAGTCTTAATCAAGAATGAATTATAAGGGATGTGGATTGGCTTTTGAATTATTGCTCTAATTCATTAACGCATAGGAGTTATATTTGTTTAGATATTGAATAGAACTTGTCTTAATACCATGCAGTGTGCTTACACATCCTGTGGTATGTAAATCAATTATCATTTTAATTGCATATTTCTGAGATTACAATTTTCTTTGTTGTATCAGCTGTTGTGTAGCTTTATATGGTTTAATTTGATATATAACTCATATAATTGTAATAACATGCATTATTTTTGTAAATTAAATTATATACTTTACAAGCAAGACATGTGAGAAAATGTATATTTACCTTGCACCCCCAGGTTTATCTCCGGCGCATTACCATTAAATTGAACAACTAGAGTCTCTGAAATAAAATGACATTTAATTACTTTAAAATAACAATTAATACTACAAAACAATTTGGTACAATTAAAAATTAAAAGTACCTTTTTGGAAAATTGAGAGATCATAAGGACTTTTATCATGACTAGCATCTTTTTTACTTGAATCTAAAAGAACCATGTCATCCCCGAGGTTTTCTACATAATATCTCCTTGCATTTGGTGATAATTGGTCTTTTAATGAAGGTGCTTCCATTCTAGGTTCTCTTGCTTCAAAGCCTCTCATGTGTGGCCGCAATTGTGATACCAAAGGACTTTGTACAGCCTTATTTTGATTTAATATACCATCTCTTACATTTTGTATCAAAAACTGATCCTTGAGTACATCAAGTTGCTTCTTCATGGATATCATCTCATTCCAATAATAAAATGCAATGGAACAGCTGATTATGACACATAGTATACTAAGTAAAAAGTTAAATATAAATAAAAGCTTAATTTTCTTAGACGACGCTATTGACAGTGTCGTATTAATATGCACGCCAACATCTGAGGGTTTTTCTAAAAAGAAAAAAAAACAAATTATGAGACTGAAGTACATCATTTTATACTTAAAATTATTCAAAAGGAACTGAAAATCACCTGTGTTCAGATGAATGACAGTCCCCTCTTTTACTTTCGGATTTTTACCCGTGTTCAAAAAAATATTCGCCGCACCTGCCGAGTTTAGTGGGACACCTTCACAGTTAATTTTTCTTTCGCCGTCCATTATGTTTATTGTAATAAATAGTAGTACTATGATAGTACGCACATATTATTGTTTCATACAATCATTCGTGTAGGCGTCGCCGTTCCTAAACAAAGGAAGTAGAGCTTATTAAAACTTTGCACGGACATCACCGATAACCGGGAGTTGATAATAAAAAATAACACAATTACATACCAGAGATAATAAGCGCGTCGAGGATTAAATAAAATAGTTCACTAATTCAGTCCTACATTTGCAGTTTCTTACCTATATCACTAAAACTAGTCAGTCCTTAGCAAGAAAACAAACAAAAAAGTAAATAACACGGGTAAAACTTTGGATTCGTCCGTTTTGCAGCTCGCTGGCATTGGAGCGCGCGGGCGGTTTGACCGCTATTGTCGACGCGCGCCAAATTCAAACTGAGCGCGTGGTGAACGCCGAACGCGACCACTGCGATTAGCGAACTCCGGAATGTGGACCGCGCCGCACCACACCACGAAAATTTTCTGAACTGTTGAATGAATCTTCAATACTTGTCACGATAACAGTTAGAAGCAGTATGATTTTCAATCGATTCTACCACTTAAATACTATTGAAAAATCATAGACTCAGCAAATATTTAAAGCTCGATGTTATACAGTTAAATGAAAATCGAAACATTAGTCTTTGTATATACCTAAGTTGAAGTTGATTTCGTATGTTTTTGTTTATTATGGCATTAAAAGAACATGCATTTATAGTAAAACGATGATAAATACCTAGTTTCTTCGTCCGTTGTTTGTTTTGCAAAAAATAAGTTACTATAAATAAACAAATATTAAAATACCCCTAAATATTAAAATAAAATTTTATACCCATAATTAAAATACTGGGAACAAAATTAATTATGATATAATTCCGTAACTTGTACTTAATTTCCAACTATTAATGTATAATAATTAGTAAATAGCATATAACGATGGTTGTTTCTATTCATGGGAACTTTAAGTGGTCTTTAATTACCTGCGTAAAATTCTTAAAACTCGACTCTTATCTCAGGTAGCCAGGAACAATACAATTAAATAAGCATAGCAGACCTTCATGTTATTAATTCCTAAATAGGTACTTACCCGTATTGTAATTGAGCGTAATAACATTGTCATAGATAACGTTTTAGGTTTATGAGCGTAGGAAATAGGATTTATTTAAATCCAGGTATTGAAAAATATGGTCTGCGCTTTTATGGTATGCACGCCAGCTGCATCAAGAACTCGTTCGGTAAGGCATTGTCCACATCAACCAGTTAACCTACACAATCTCATTTCTCGTATTTATTCATCTATTTATCAATAATAAATATTTTCAATTTTACAATATAGAATAAACATATTTTTAAATAGGAACTTTAGCTCTAATTTTAAATTAAGTTTTTTTTTGTTTTTAGCAAATAATTGAATTAAAAAAAGAATGGTTGTAGTCTGCGTCTGTTTTATTGTTTTTTAAATTAAGGTAAAGCTTCTGTGCACACTAATAGAAGACAACCATTATTTTGGCGGCATCGAACCATAGACTTAATAGGTACGTCACACATAGTGTAACCTCAATTAAAAGAAAACTAAGGTATGATGTAATATTTTATTTTAATAATAGATAAATCATGTATTATTGATTTTACGACTATTTTATTCAGTAGCACGTGACTAGATAAAGGATGACCATTCATGTGATAAAGCGCATCGCCGCTGTTGCATAATTTAAATAATAACTAATATAATTACATAATTACTTGAATTAAAATATTGTTAACTTGTGAAAATATGGTGTATAGTTTTACCAAATGTACCCCACATTTCATATTACTTTTAGTAAACTGTAAGTGAGGTGCGCTCAAAATTTTAAAATAATTTTTTTAATGTGTTTTATAAAAAATAAAGCAAATATTTATGCCCTTATTGATAAAAAATTGCAACATTGTAATTGCACCGTTTTAACCGAATTAGTCGTCCATCACTCTCCCAAACATTTGGCAGAAAGAGACGAAAGAGTGATTTAATTAGGAGTGTAATTAGATTGATATAGTTCATTTTAATTGAGGGTACACAACTATAGATATAACAGCTCTCATCACGATATTGTATGAAGATGGTCATTTGCGTTTATGTTATGTATTTTTTTATATTAAACAGGTAAGCGGCCTTCTTCTCGGAAGAAATATTATAACAAAGGAAAATTACTAATAAATTTTACATATAAATTATGTTAACTGATGCTTCAAATAATTTATTTATGTTTAAACGCTTTTTATTATTGTGTACATATTTTACTTTTTAAGTGAGGTATTCGTAAAGTTAAACAATCGTAATATATTCATGTGGAATCGCCAGGGCATGGATAATCACTTATTGAACCAAGTTTCCTACTATCTGGGGCTTAAGACAAAATCACTAATATTCGTTTAATTATTAATGGAATGTTTGTCTCAAGCCCTCTGGCCTACGAAAGCATTTGACATTAGTGACCTAAGCCACATCTGTCAAATTCAAAGTAGAGCTTAGATAAGGTAATTTTTTAACAGTGGCCTGTGGCATTGTAAATAGTTCTTTAAGGACAGTGTACAAATATAACCGATTTATTTGCGGACCAATGTGGAATGCTTAGATGGTCCAGATGTAATACGGGAATCAGATGGAGAAATCTCAGTTGTCATGCAGTAAGGGTGTTATTAATAGATTATAGACATGTGCATGTTCCGTCTGTTAAATTATTACTTAAAAGTTCATCTACGAAATGTTAGCATTACCTATGGTATTATTACGGTAACACAGGGAGTGATAAGGACAAAATCGTTTAGCCGGTGGTATAAATGTCAACGTAAAATTGTAAAAACCGTTAGATTGTAATCTATCTCGCGAGATTGTAAACTGTCGAAAAATTGTGAACTCAACGTACTGCTTACAATTTAACGTATTATTATTCGGTAGATTACAATCTATCGAAGTGAAACCGTCAAATTGTGAAACGGTACGCACCTCGCGCCCTGATTGGTTGAACGGGTTATGCCACGCGCTGATTGGTGGAACGGAGTATGCCATGGAGGCGACCATATTTGTTTGTTAATTCGTTTGTTGACGAATGTAAACAAACGGTGTTTTGGTAAATGTAAATTGATGTCGTCTTGAAAGTAACTCACAGCTTTAGGATGTTGAAAGTGAACGTGAAAAGTTATATGAAATTGTTGTGGAAGTAAAATTTATCTGTGATTGACCAAAGAAGTGCAGTTTGAATGATAATTAAGTTAGTGTTGGTCTCCAAACATAGTCTAAATTACATACATTTTCCGTGTTTTAATATTTTTTATTTGCGTGATTTTTACCTTTGTGATCTCGTATTTACAATGTCGGATATTGAGCCTGTCGATCAACAAAACTCAGAAATATTAGGTATTGTTAATAAGGAAGAATTTACCATAGAGTTACAAAACTATTACAGCGGGCATAATGAAAATAGTAAAAAATGTAATTGCAAAAAAATAAAAAGAAAGCTGAAATGTTTTTTGTAACTCCAGGTGCCACAACTCGTTAACGTGCAACAATAATGGAACATTTTTATTGGTGCAATTTACTTTCTTATTTTTTATATAATAGACAATTTTGTTATGTTTTCAAAAACGTTCATATGTTTTCGATTTGTTTTTTTTTTAATTTTGATTTTATTTTGTGATCGTTTTTTTCTAAAAGAAAATTTCATTAATTTTTCAATTTTAATTTGTGTTTGAAGAGAAAATATTGTTACGTTTCTGATTTTTTTATTTTGATATATTTTTTTTTCATCATGTGATGTCAGAATTATTGATTATCTATTAAGTAATAAATACTAATTTTTGAAGTGCATTCATTTTATTTGACCGATACCCTTGTTTCATTCCTAACTCTATGGACATATAACGGTCTACTATAAAGCCGACCAATCAGCGCGCGAGCTGCGTACCGTTTCACAATTTGACGATTTCACTTCGATAGATTATAATCTACCGAATAATAATACGTTAAATTGTAAGCAGTACGTTGAGTTCACAATCTTTCGACAGTTTATAATCTCGCGAGATTGATTACAATCTAACGGTTTTTACAATTTTACGTTAACATAAATACTTCTATGAATAGGGAAATATGTTTTCCTACGATCAAAGAGAATTCGTTAGTATTATTATTTTAAAAAATTGCGTAGTTTAAGCATTAAATAAAGAAATATTAAAGAATTATCATGAATATAATATGTAAATCATTTAAAAAGGACAAAGCTCGCCTAAGCTTTTTATAAAGGTTCACTTTAAAAAAGGCCCCAGCTGAGCTATGATAAGACAAATGAATGACATGACAATGAAAATGACAGTTCGTGTCGACAAATCTGCATACAAATTTAGTTTTCGACTTTCTACATACACTACTGTTAAGGCACTTTGACTAAACCCCCTAAGCCCACTTCACGCTCGCTACATATAAAAGTTGTAACAAGCTCTACAACTTTTATTTCGAACTCAATATATATCTCTCATCCTTCGGCAGCATTCGTAAGAAAAGTTTTCGTTTGACCGAATTTTCTCCGACTACCACGACAATGTATTTTTATCCTTAGGTTAATGTACGTAGTTGGGTCCCAAAGTTCTGTCACTAGCACATTATTTCTACATTTCCCCGGAGCAGGAGTTTATAAAAAATTATTGCATTCTATTTTAAATATTAATGTTAAAAAAAAAAAACTTTCCGTAATTTTCAGATGGAGTGGACATTGAAGTAAACCGAATAGTTTTTTTTTGGGTTGAACGGTGTTGGCACCCGCCGAGTATAATTCAATGTTGCTCAAAAATTTGAATATAACGGGGCTTAGGTTTGTGTACGGTACTATTGATAGGTACCTTGAAGTCTCAGTGTTGAGGACAAGAAAGAACTGGCTGAAGCCTTTTCCCTTCACTAAGAACACCAGCAGTAATCAAGCTAAAGATAGATCCTGACAAAATGAATTTGCAGATGGGTGCAGGTAG